TTCTCGAAAGCAGTGCGAATCGCTTTCTTGCGAACTGGAGCATTCGCCCTAGATACTTTCGACTCCCGAGCCACTTTCCTTGGACTTTGAGACTCTTTAACAGGGATGAAAAAGCCTTTGGCAAGCTCTAACTTCTTCTTAGATAAGGTGCACGAAGGAGGAAATGCTTGATAGCAACATGCTTCCATGGAGACGCTTTCTGAATAGGAGATGGACAGGACAATAGACCTTCCGGCTGACTCCTTCATAAGGCAATATGGCCTGTGACTTTTTTTTTTTACGCAGAACACTTTCTGTCTCGTCCATGGGGTTCAGAAGTCATGTCAGAGAAAACCTGAATCTTCCCTTGTTATCACGAAGCAAAACTTGCTCCACGGTACTTTCCATTCCTGAGAACAATGTAAGTGAAAGTGAGTTTTTTTTTTTTTCAAATCATGCAATACATTACACTCGCATTAACGCTTCCAAGTCACGAATTACTTTCTGCCCGTTTTTCTGGGTTCTTTTGGCAATGTGCGAGGTTTATATTCTCTTCACAAGAAGGCTATAGATTGCCAAGAGGGTATCAAGTAGTAGACGTATTTTAGCAAAGAGGAGAGAACCCAGTACGTTTGTCCCAGGAATCCATTAATCGGCGACTTGAGCTGGGGGGGGGGGGGAAATAGAGTCTCTATAGTTCCTATAAGTCGTCGCCTCTGAAGGAGGGTCATTCAGAAAGTTAATGACATGGCTCTTCAGAAAAAGGAGTAACCTCGTATTTTCCTGTCAATGATAATCAATACAACTTCTACAATTACTCTCCCCCCCCCGTCTCCACCACGCGTTTCAGCTGTCTCAGCCAACCATTCATGATGACTGTCTGAACCTTCCTTTCAAAGACTTGCCGAAATGAGCACTATTTTTTTTATTATACAAAAATGTGTGTTCCATCTTGACCCTAGAAAGAAACCAAAAACCACAGGCACGTGGGAAATAGGGGGCTGGGGAGTTACAAAAAAAAAATCTCCTTCTCCCGTAGAAATGTATATTCACAGACAGACGTTCAAGGGCGTTGTCGTGGAGAAATTTTAATATTGGCAACTTTGGCGTCTTCTACCCCGCTTCTTTAGCATTTCTGAGAAACACTTCCCAGAATACCACTTTCTCGTAGCAGTTCTCCCTTCCGCCAATGGCATTAGGACCACCACACCATCACAGTGAGAGAAGACAGCGTTGGTCTTTTTGGCATGGTCATGGTATCTGGCAGTCAGCTTGCCGCAGGAAATGATTAGGGGTAGCTGACCTTCCTCCATCTTGACTATGCTCCCCTTCGATCTCAAAATGATATAGCTGGTTTTGTTGCCAGCGAAGACATCGCACATATGGCATGCATAAGGTGGCTCAAACAGATTCACTATGTTTCGTGCCATTTTCAAACGCTGCTGCTTCTGCACCTGCGTCCGGGCGAATGACACCTATATGGAGCAGATCTTCCTCGTGTGTCTCAAAATTCCGTAAATATTCCCCTCTGCCATTCCCAATGTCATGTTAGCACAGCAACTATGACATGTTTGTCTTCTTTCACAAGTTCACAGACAGCCGCGACGATCGCCTAGGTTGTCGAACTTCGTGAACTCCCGAAGCATGCGTCATCAGTACGAAGGGAAATGTACGGTCCCTTCATACGCATGTATATCCTTCACAGGCTAAGCTTCCACATTGCTAAGATGTAGAACTTGTACTCAAAACCTCAGCTCAGAATATATTTTCGATGCTCGCCAGTAGTGGGTCAAGTTCCATGACTCTACCACTATTTTAATGCAACAAAGGGAAATGAAAATCTAACAGCGTAGACACCAGTACACAAGTTAATATCGACTCATTAAAGTTCATTAGTCTCGCCAGTGACGCCCTTGAGGCATGCAAGTATTTTTAAAATGACCCTCGTATCCACTCGCCTCACGGTGGGGGCTTCAACCCCCTGAAACTTGAATCCATCCGCCCATTCTCTTGACTGGGACAGAGACCTGGGGCTGCTCCAGAAAATTCATCAGGTTGGCTGAAGGCGACTCACCCATGAGGGGGGAGCCGAGAGGGACTGTTTTCACTATTACCAGGGACTTCTTATCGAACCTTTTTCCCAAGAAAATGTCTCAGACGAAACAAGGTTAATGCGAGAGGAGTCTTTTTCTTTCCGTCTCGATGTTCTCTCAAGTCTTGCCTTTCACTAGGGCGTGGCGATTCGTCCGAATGGGTATCACGGTATCCGCCGTCGCCTTTAGTGGATTACTTTTTGTCGCACTCTATTTCAGTTTGTCACTGAAATATTGGCAGTCGATTATCACAATGTGGGAGTGGGGTTGAGACGTTCTGCATTCAGGTGAATATGATCAAGAAACCAGACCGAAATGTTGCAGGCATGATAGATGACAACGGCGCGAGATTCTATAAATGGAATGTTCTTCCTTAAATCCTCTCCAAAAATCTGCACTTAAAACATTCCTCCCCCCCCCCCCCCCCCCCCCCCCCCCCCCCCCCCCNAAATCTGCACTTAAAACATTCCCCCCCCCCCCCCCCCTCCTAAAACAATGGGTGCAGAGGCCATGACGAATGTGCAAGAGACGAATCGATTTTTACGGCTCGTTTCTCGGATTAAAACGTTACCGTAAGGTATACACAACGCATGCCATTCCGGTTTAAGAACTGATTGCGAAATCACATCCACCCTCTGCTCTGATTTCGAAATGAAGGAACTCTATTTTTATTTAAATCTCTCTCTGACATCCTAGTAAGAGACGACGCCTTTTCCTGCTCACAAGAGGGAATTTTCTTAAATAGGCCTAGCTATTTGGCTACATAGTAACAAAACAGCATGCTATCCAGGGCTTAGCCCCCCAAATAATGGGGGGCTCTCGTCCCCTTAGCCCCTCATTCCTGCCTTTAAGGTAACCCTTCATTTCATCACGAAACTTTCTCGATCGACCGCTTCCCAAGGGTAACAGTTGCGTGCCCTTGGCAGAGCTTGGCTGGTTGTGGCTCTTTGTAACGGTTCTCTACTGTGGGAGACGACTCTTTTTTTTTTCTCTCCTTTATGGGAAGAGCTCTTTCTTTTCCGGAGATATAAAAGAAAATCGTAAAAAAAAAAGTCCCTAAAAGAAAGTGACATTAGTCGAAGAGTCAAGGTGAAACGATCGGCTATTCCCTTCAAGGTTGCACGGTTTGTTCGATACCGGCATGCGTGACTACTCCGTCTTATCGCAATCCCCGTCTAATGGCGCGCCCTTGGCCGTCCTGGACCGATAACTTCCCTCCATCGGAAGCAGGAAACAGTTGAGGAATCTTTCGCGTTACTGCCGATTTTCAGGACGAGGTGCTTCCGAATGTGAGAATGAAGTTTTCATACGGAGTCACCAGCGATTCTTGACGGAGAAGTGATGATAAGTGATACACTCTATTCAAAAAAATTTCGAACGTTTTTCAATTTTTAGCCACTCGTAATTGGTTCAGGCTATCGCTGTGCGCCTTTGTGGGCTGACTAATGCATCAAATGAGCACATGCATGCAAAGTTATAACAATATCCATTCGCTGATTATTGAAATACAGGAGGCGATTCAGAGCGTGCCAGCTGTAAGGGAGTGCCGCCGAAACTTTACGGGCGCATTAGTCCAAATTCAGCATTGTGCCCCATACGGAATGGCTGACACGATGCGCACGACCAAGATAATTGCATTAATCTTTCCTGTTAGACACTCGGATGAGGTGCTTGAAGTGCCCGCCATGTCATCCCGTGAACAGGCACGTGATATCGATCGAAACCCAAACGCTGCACGGTTCGCTGCGACGGGGGAACTGCGAGTTTCCTCTCTGGCTGTGCTCGCGCCGAGTGCGGCCCAAGGCAATGGTCTGATTCAACCTTACTTAGAATAAGATGCTGCATCTCCGAAATGAATATATGGATTTTGATACAACTTTGCGTGCATGCGCTCATTTGATGGCTTAGTCAGCCCTCAAAAGCGCACAGCGATAGTCTGAACCAATTACGAGAAGCTACAAATTGAAAAAGGGTCCAACATTTTTTGGGACAGAGTGTAGATCAGCATTTTCCATTACATTCTTTAAATGCAGATTCGGGCACTATGCTTCTTTTTCTTTCTTTTTTCCTTTTTTTCGTACAGCGAAAGCTACTTGTGCCCGTGGGGGGGGGGGGGGGACTGATTGCCCGAATATTAAGCTCTCGAAAGAGATTCTCTGTAGCTTTCAGGGAAAAGTAAGCCTCTTTTCTTTCTATATTTCAAAGCGTGCTTTGAAAGCAATCCAGTTTTTCCAGATTCCAGGAACCAGTGCATAGGACGCAATTAACGGAATGGCGTGTAAGGAAAGAAAAATTACTCAATCTGTTAATGAATTCCTTCCCAGTCTGGAGTGAATGCAACTTACAGAAGCCTATTAACACTAAATGGATCCGCCATATTCCAATTCCCCCTCCATGATAATTCAATTAAGCAGGGAGACAGAATCTTGCGGCTATTACGAAATTATGATAATTAAATAGGTCAAGGACAAAGGAGCCATTAACATATCTGCGGAAGGAGTCCTTTGCCACGAAGGACTTCTCTCCTCTAGTTAGATAGGAGTACTAATAATTAGTTGAATTAATTAGTTATTGATTATCTATTATTTAGCATTACCTCTATCTTATTTTCCGGTACTCGATGCACTTTCTGCAATCCTGCCATTTGTTTCTGTATATTTGCCATCAGTTATCTCCATATGTCCCATGAAGGGAGGGGGAAATTTTTTGAAAAGGTGGGCGGGACTTAATGAGGAAAGGGAAATGGTGCTTGAGAGAGACCGGAAAAAGAGAGTGAATTGGGGTCTGATTGCATATCCGACAATCGGGGATATTCCCAGAAAGCATGAATAAGATGGCATCACAGCCACCATTTTCCTCAAACGTTACTTTGTCATTTATGAAATTGAAATGAAGAACTGAATTCGCTAAATTCCCCACGACTCTTACCTTCTTAACGATGATGACGTCGGCGTCAGAGACGAGGTCATCCGGGGACGAGGTGGCCATGTGCGGTCCGGACAAGTCTTCGGTCTTCGTTCGGATTTCCTTTTCTTCCACTCCTGTTCAAAATAAAATAAGTCAACCGAAGAACCTAAGCAGCAATACGACTGGTATTATAATTTACAATAAAATATAAAAGGTTAGGAAAAACTTTGGGCAAGGAAAAGAAGAGACACGAAAGAACGACATGAAAGTTGCATGAAATAATGCCATTCCTCCACTCGGTAACGATTTTGGCGATGAAAATGTAATATAATCAATGATAGCGTGACTGAGTTCGTAGCGGTCGGCAGTTAATGATTTGAAGTTCGAGACACGCTTACCCAATATCACACACTCTTCCTTTTTGATGAGGCAAAGTTTGAACGTTTAAACCGCTCCTCGGTACTGGACAACGCTGCTCAACTTGAAAATTCATCCTTGACGTATCTCGGAAATTCTCTAAAGAATTGGTCGAGAATCACTCACATTGCCTCACATAAAAGAACATTTTAAGGCTATGGGGAACTGCAAAGTGACAAGACTTATTACCACTCAATTTACTTCAATCGCAGCAATGCCTCACAAGAGTCACCTAAGCGTCCTTTGCTAATTTTTACGGTAAATATTGTACTGTATCACTCGGTTTCACTCGACACAACATTTTTCCCCCATTAGCTTACCCCTTTATCGGATCCTGTTTTGAACAAGCAATTTGTCCCACTCAATCTAAGACCAGTGAGTCTAATGAAAAGTGATGGCGAAGCGATTGAGAAGAAACCTCCGCCCGATCGCAGCGAGAAAAGATTGAATCCTTTGGTGCAAACCCCCCCTCCCCCCCCGATGCATCGATACACTATCGATAGTTCAGGTTGATGCATCGAAGTTTTGAAAACTGCTATAAATCACTGTCTGATGAAGATGTGTCCAGATATTGTCCTTGGGAGAATAAGTCGCAAAATATGTCGACCAAGAGGGGGGGGGGGGAATTCAACGTTACTGAGATGCCGCCATGAAGCACGCGGAAACCACGTGAAAATACAAGCTAGCTTCTCGCTTTTCCGCCTTCACAAACTCTCCGACAGTTACATTATCCTTTCATCTCATCCTGCATCTGCAGTAAGCTGGATATTCCGTAAGATTGCGATCCCTTCATTCTACCTTAATTCTTCGATCCTTAACGAAGTAGGTGCTTTCTGCCGGTCGGTATATCATCGTCCTATACCAAAACGTTTCGAAATATGATGGGAGACTAGGTTGCTTCAAGAATTCATTTCACTTTGTCATCTTTGAGTATGTATATATTTGGCAGATGAGTGTGTCACCGCTGTGTACCAAAACTGTTAGAGCCCCGCATGAATATTCATTTAGGTAGTAGAAGCCGCCAGTTGATATCCTCTTCCGTTGTGACCGTCCTGTCCTGAATTTTTTTTCTCAAAAGTTCGCGCCATCGCTACGTGTTACGTCTAGATGCGGCAGTCTGCAATTAAGCATGAATGTTTGGGCTTTAGGAAATTATTCTGAATGTTTAATACTCTAAAGTCTCTGGTAGATTCTTGTCTCAGGAATGTAAAACTACTCAGAATATTTCATTGACCAATGCAGAAAGCAATTGAAATTCTAATTCGAACTGTCCAAATGGTTGTGTGATGGTGTATACTTGAGACTTTACTGCCCTTCGTTCAATTTTTGTGGACACGTACACCACTAGTATTTTGAGGGCACTGAGAGCATTATCATATGCTCAGTTTGGGGTGAAATACAATACCGTGCGATCAAATAGACCTATACAATGCAGTTATCGACAATTCTCACCGGAAGGAGGCTGAAGTCGGACGGAATTCTGTTCCTGACGAGAAGGTTGGGAATCGAGGTCAAGGGCACGTGTATGAGAATGATTGCCATCGTGGAAGGTGAAAAACGTGCCGTTGTCCATGAAATGGTCCTTAACCTCGTGGTCCTCGATGACGACGCGACCCAGGCCCAGGTTCTGGAGCAGGTGCTCGAACCCCTCGTATGTGATGACCCCCTCCGACCCGTACTTATCGAAGATGTGCTTGAGGAAATGGGTATGGTCGAGGCAGGAGGCAGTGAGGACGCAGCAGCACAGCACGCAGCACGTGGCGGGCACCCAGTGGGAACCGAGGTGTCGAAAGACCATGTCTCAGTCTCTCCAAGGATCCTCGGGATCTGGATCTGGATCTGACGATACTGCGGGTCTTGGTTTCCGCAGTTCACTCGAGAGATCTGATATGGGGGGGACAAAGGAGGGCAATGCGATTCAACACCTGTAAACGTTCGAAAACAGTGGCCAGGGTTGATTGCCCTCATCCTTTGAAGATCACGATAATCGCGGGATAATGAACACCCCCCCACCGCACGAATCCCCCTTATTCGCACGATTCAATAGAGTTGGTTGGACCAGGTCAGATTGAACTCCATGTATGAGAGGAAAAGGCGAACACATGATTAAGATGTATTTATACAGAGCGGAAAATGGCGCGGAAAGCGAATTGCGGAAGTTCGTCAAACTTGAGAATGGAAATTTCCGCTTTCCGCCGTCGCTTTCTCCGTACGGAAGGCAATTTATACCGAGCGATCGCGTTTACAGCTGGAGAGATACAAGATTATTATAGTGGATGGATATGAAAAGAAGGGCTGAAAAGCGATGTGGTCCATCTGCAAAAAATTATTTCCTGGAGCTCCACATGGAATGCGTGAATATTCCAGTGACTGTCATGTTAAAAGTGAGGAAAAGTGGTATGCATTGATAGATCACTTCATTCATTACTTAGTTACAAAAAAAAACTGTAATTTTTTATGAAACGGACAAGGTTCTATGAGCACAAAACCAACAACACTTTTTTTTCGGAAAATGTTTGCAATTTTTTTCTTATTTTTCCTCGAATTCTCCTTCATTACCTAGTCCAAACGCTCTTTCCATCTCAAGCCATTCAGAAGTGGATGTCTCCGTGCTTCCACGATTGACCTCTCCCGAGTCCATATTTCTCCTTTTCCGTCTCAGAGGTCACCGATCCGACTGGACTGGTTCGCTGACGGACAGCCATTTTTGCCAAGACGGAAGTTTTGCTCCGTCCGTCGACGGAGGTCCGCTTCAGGCATGCGGTTTCCATTTTGTGCTGGCGGTAACCGCTGGTTTCCGTTTTACATTTTCCGCATTTTCTGTATAAATCCCCTTTTAGAGTTGGAAATTATTCAGAACTATCCCCCATGGACTCAGGGTCCCAATGCATAAGTCATCAAAGAATATGCTTGCTAATCGAAGAAAACAGATGTACGAATGATGCGATCAAAAGGAAACCTTTGTGCGATGAGACTGGAGGCTAGATCCAGCCGATTTCTCCCCCCTTAAAGTGCTATGTGACTATTAATGACATTTCCAATTATTTCGTATTGGAAATAATGATCTACTCTTACGAAATTGCAAAAAGCCTGAAGAGCAGTGTGTCTAGGTCTTGAGATTTTCTGAGTACGAGGACTGATCCAAAAGTTTTGTCAATCTGTGGCATCAATGCAGGAGAGGGTTCGCTCCACCCTTGTGCGTTTTGCATCAAGTTCCTTGCCAACAAGCATATCAGTCAGTCGTAATGATACATAAAAGGCAGATCTGTTTCGTTTCGTTGTGACGTAGAGTCGGAATAGCTGGTGCAAGTGATTCATTAACTGCCTCGATGCGACGCGAGGAACGTAAATTTTTTTTTAAACTACAAACGAGGGTTTAATCCGAGCAGCACACCAAAGCGAGATGGAACAAACACTTGGACCGGGTCCTCCTTAGAAACGCACCATCAAACGTTGGTGTGCTGAATTCGAATTTAGTATGAAAATAACCTTGTAAACGAACGCTCAGATCGACCTGTCACGGCAAACGACGAAACAAACTTGGACATTGAAGAACCACCAAATTGAAGAAGGATAGACATGAATTCAAGAGAACATAGGGATGGACAATATGACACTATACCCCACCAGCACCTCAGAAAGCGAAAGCTCAAGTCCCCCAGGAGCGTTCATCGCACCATGTTTGCCGTTTTCTTTTTATCGTCCAGACTAGTGGCTGGCATCCGGTTAGTGGGAAGAAAATCGGCGACCGCATCAATATACTCGATCGTAAGCCTCCCGGCAGAGTTGAAGTCTCAGGCAGAACAACGTCCAAGGACGAATTTACGGGTTACCCTCTCCCGCCACGAAGATCACACAGGAGCCTCAAGCGGGGCTTTCTCAACCGCTTACTTATTCCCCCGATCTGGTTTCAGCAGACTATTGGCTGTTCCCTAAAGCCAAGGAATCACTCAAAAGAGATTCGACTCGGTGGAGGAACTTGAATGGGTTTTTTTTATGAGAACTTACAAGGGTTTTCGAAAGACGAGTGAAATTTGTAGAGCACTCGAGATAGAGCATTCCAACGGATGGAGAAACGAATTTTCGCACATGGGAGAATACTTGGAGATGAAAAAAAAATTATGTATCACTTCATGAAACACGCTCTTGACAATACTTTTGGATCACCATACCTGAATAAGCGGAAAACCGAGTTTGTTCGGAACCTAAACATATATTCACAGGTCACCATTGAAATTGCAGCACTAAGGTGCAGAGGGACCTGGCACACGAACTCTTCACAGTGGGCCATGAAATCGATACGTTTCGAGTGAGTAGGGTGGTTCTTCGGAAGAACCTCGTGAAACAGTCTAATGAAAAAGGAGCTCGAGAGCCCTGCAAATCGCTCCAAACGGAGTTGATTACTGGTTGCTTGCACTTTCGTCTCCGTGAAAAAAAAAAATCTCGCCCCGCCCCCTTTCGATTGACGGGCACATCATAATGTTACCTAATATTTGACCTCAAAACTGGAGGGGAGAGAGTGCAAGGGGCAATTTTCCACACGCGATGGGGGGCGAGGGCAGCCAAGCCAAAATCATTTCTGCATGTTTGCCTCATCCCGTTAAAGAGTTAAACGAAGCCGAATTTTAGTTCCCTTCTGCTGCGGAAGAGTGATAAGGAGAAATTCTTAGGCTCGAATGCTGGAACCTCCTTTAGTTAACGTTCCTTTGAGAATCCAAGGACTCCCATGAGGGAACAAAAGAGTACATTCGCTTAAAGGCCCCTTTATCTTCCCTAAATGAAGTTTCAGCGTTCAGGCCTCAAGAGTCAACATAACTTAAAAGGGCTGAAGAAAAAAACTATTCCTGCATGGTACGTCTACTGATGCCAGGAAATCTCAAGGTCGCAGGAAGGTGCTACGAAGACCGTAAATTTTAAGCTGATGTCACAATGATCAGAAATAATTTTTGAGTCTACCTGGACGCTGCTCCCGAGAAAAGAATCAAAACAAGGTGAAGGCGGAAGTTATATGCACAGTACTGTTCCACAGTTCTTCCAGTTTCTGGAAGAAAAAATAGTTTCTTCTCAGGCAACTGATTTAATTTCATGGAGTTCTCAGGATATTTTTCGTCAAGAGTTTTTTTTTTTTTAGATAGTTCCAATTCTGTGGCACCATTATGGAGATCCCATTGAACATTTTAAAATCAGCTTCAACAGCCTCACGACAGCAGCTACTCCGGTCCCCACAGAAAAACGTCGGAAATTCGCCTTTCGCGATCATAAAAACGGCCAAATTCGGCAACGACCCGTCAATTGCATCTCAGGAGCGAGAGTGGAACACAAGTCGTTAATGATTCGTGGAAAAAGAACTCCTAATTGCATCTAGAAGAATCGCGCGAAGTTTCAAGGTCATGGGATGAAGCCAAGCCAGGGAAAATTTGTTTCACGATTATGCCAATTTCATTTTTTTTCACCCTCGAGGCAATTCGCCGTTGTCGAGTGCTTAATTGCGAAGCCACGAATAAATATTAATTCCCAAAGGCGATTTCGCCAGCTGTTCGAGCGTTTAATCACCTTCGGGTATTCGGAATGCATGCTTTAGCATGATTTTGGTCGTGTTCTGTGCACATTGGCCTTTTATGGGCTCTCGATTCGTGTGGAAGCCCTTTTTTCGCAGCTGAAAGCACCTCGAAGAGGGCTGACAGATTCCTGCATTGAACAGTGGCAGAATTCCTGTCTCAGATTACAGTCTTATTTCCAGCTGTCAGCTGGAAAATTGATACATGGCGATGACGTCTAGAAGTCTAATCGTCATGAATTCCCCCGATGGACTTGGAAACCCCCGCCATTAGGCATATTGACTCGGGAATCCCCTATCATTAGTCATATCTTTCCCCGCCTCATCGCGTGAGGTCAGGAATGGATGAGACCCTCTAAAAAATGTATGACGCGACAAAACGCAGGCAAATACTGCAGCAAGAATTACTCCGCAAACAAGAACGAGGGAGATGCAGCACAAGATTGATTACGAAACACCTCGCATTCGTGGATGCCTTTATAGAAGATTATTAATATTTGATGAGCATCTGGGCTCGTCTCGAAAGCAATTTGAAGCCGAAAGGTTCCACAAGGACGACGTTCGCTCCACAGGGACGACGTCGGCTCAACAGGGAGCCAACGTCACCCAGGGCAACCGGAGTGAAATCGGGTTGCATTTCGCCCATCCCTGTACCTGTGCGATATGCCAGTAGGTACGAAAAACTCGCAAAGAATTGCTTGGCGTACTTGGGAAATTCCTGGCCCTCGGTTAGATAACTACATTATATAAGGGGGCATGAGTAATATTGAGCTACACAACTTTCCATTTGGATACCATTCTAAGGTCTCGTCCAGACCAGACCGTCAAATTTTTTTGGCAAAAAAAATTGCATAGAAAACTCTGGTGCGGACGAGGCCTATGAGAATCCATTCCAGTTATTCCCCTTCGACGGCCTCTCAAGTTTCCAATATTCATCATTTCGGTGGGTTTTATTGCTCATTCTTATACTTCGAGATTCTTCTGTTGAGGAAAAATCGCCGTAAGCCAGACGGTCGGCCTTTTTTCCCCCACGCCTCATCCCACTCGATTACCCTCGGCTCGCGAATTCATCAGATGGGAATGGCAAACTAATCCACTCGGATCACGAAGTACGATAGCCTGGCAATCGATCGTGTCGGTAGCGTTGTTCATGGCGGTAATGAGAAACCCACTCCAGTAGCTTTCCCGTTGTGTCGGTTTCCCATTTCATATCGACCCATACGCACTAAACGGACCTGCGTTGGCCCCGCTTTCACTGCGTTGGCCCCGCTTTCGCTGCGTTGGCCCCGCTTTCAATCACTCGAGTGCCATTCCGATGGAACATGCCCAGGAGACGCACGTACCGAGTCTCGCCTCACACGAGGGAGTCGCGGGGAATGCTAAGGAGATTCTTTTCACATTTTTCTTCACTTTTCAAAGACTTTTCAGCTGTCTCGAGGGGAAAAAAAAACTTGATTCACGCTTTGAAAAGAGCTGGACGGCCCCTCCAAATGGATGGCCGCGAGGGAACCGACAAAAAAAAAAGTTTCACCGCGTGTGACTTGGCGAGAGCAATGGCGGGGATCGATGTCATGCTCTCTTTTACCCCGCTTTTCAAGCACTCGGTCGAGTGAAAGCGCAGTCCCCGTTTTTCCACTAGAATTACTCGATATTCCCAATTCAATTGAACCCTTTCGTGAACGGATTGGGGGGGGGGGGGGGGGGGGGGGGGGGGGGGGGGGGCGTNTCGATATTCCCAATTCAATTGAACCCTTTCGTGAACGGATTGGGGGGGGGGGGGGGGAATCGATGGGACTCGTTGCAATGCCAGAGGGATTCAGTCATACCAGCTAATGAATTGAGTATCTACTGGCAAAAAAGTCATTAGGGAACAATTTGCTAATGTGCGCAGATTGGCTATTTCTGGACTCGAGTATGTCACCCCTTTCCTCCTACCTCTTCGGTGCGACTCGATTTGTTTCTCCGATCCTTGATCATTGCAGATACGATAATACTCATCGACGCTTCATCGAATACCGTAGTGGGGAGTGCTCGGGAGTGCCTTTCCTTTGCTTCGAGACGGTTTTGTCGCCTGCAGGTTACAAGAATGAAGGACAAGCTCGTCCGTGCTTGCACGAATGCGGGATATGCATGGGCGTGAAACGAGAAGTTCAGCGATTGCGTCATCCCGCTATGCCTCACATAAGGCGACGGTGCAGCTAATTAGGGCAGCTAATTACTATGACGATCCGAAACGCGAACATCGAAGGTTCACACTGCACCCAGCGGTGCACACTGCACCGCTGGGTGCAATTTAATGGGCGCATGCGGTGCGACTAGCTCTTTTCGATCAACTTCATTGACTGAAGGCGATGCAAAATGTTTTCGCAATTTCCTGAGCAGCGCAAATTTCCCTCTTCACTTTCATGCTTCATCGACCAGGAAAGCATTTTACCCTCATCTGGAAAATTTCGGCCAGCTGCATTTCTCACGCTCTGCTCACTTTCACTCGCTTCGCGTTTCCCTTTCTCCCGCGGAATGCTCGACGGGATATCCGCGGCGCTTCCACGCGGAAGGGCAAATAACACTATTGTTTTTCGAAAGCATGATTTCACTTTTTATCAATTATGGTCATCGGACGCAAACGACCCTTTAGCGCCTGCCGAACGGCCACCCGGCGGCCTCGGAACGATAATTGCGTCCTGCTGCTCATTCAGAAAGGCGAAATCAACATTTCAAAATAAAATTTTATTTTTTTTTTACTGGAAAAAGGAAAATCTAGACTTCACCTCCGGAAATTCGCTTCTAGAAAACGCTCAGTAGACGGAATTCCCTCGCGGTGGGGGAAGCGGGGGGGGAAAGGAAAAAAAAAAGGGGAAAAATGAATCTCGGCCCTACGCCTCGAGGCACGCTGCTTCGTCTTTCACGGACATGCATGCGTCATTTTCCGGATTCGGCCCGCCTGTTTATCCTACCACGCACGAAAAGAAGCAATTTCCCAAATCGTATGGGTCGTGACAAGCGAGTAGGAAGAGCCGATGTTTGGTGCAATGGTGGCGGGAAAAAAAACGCCCCTATTCATTTATAATAGAAACGGAGTGGGGCCAGTCACGGCCTGAGAAAATCATTTTTAAAATTGCAACGCTTCGAAGACGCGGGTTGTGATTCGGGCGATCGTGTCGGGGGAATGGGACCCTTTCCACTTTGTCCACTTAAGAAGTTGGACTTCGCAGAAACGCTCAGATTTTTACTTTTCTAAAAAAAAAAAAACACTTAAAAAAAAAAAGAATTTCATTAAAAGTCGTGGGACAGCCTGCATGATGCAAGCGGCTTCAGCGCCCACGCACCGAAGTCGCAACGGAAAAAAAAAAAACAAAAAAACGGAAAAGGTCCACGAAAAACTATGCCACGAGATCCCTCGGGGGTATCCGGTGGATAATCTTCGATAATAAAAAAAAAACCTGTTCCCATCTCGGAAAAATATTCTCCCTAGCATTACATGAAGACAATCGCTAAGAAAGCATATCGCGAACGCTGCATTTCCTTCGCAATGCTTGACCGGTTTAGCAAGGAATCTGACCCAATGTGCAGAGTCGGAAAAAGGATTACGGGATTTAAAGGATTTAAATGGATTACGAGCCCCTCGTCTGGACGAACCGTGGAAAGGATTTACGCCCATTACTGCATATTGCCTTTGCCTACACTTATTGCTGAAGGGCTTTGGGAACTACTTAAGAGGAACTACTTCTTATATAGCCGGTGAGCAGTCGTGCATTATTCTGCAAAAGTATATATGTTACTATTAAAAAAAAAAATTCTGTTTGTCGGCTGACTCGTCCAGAAAATGGATATTTAGGATTTATCGCGGAAAATCGACTATTCGGACCTCAATTCGGGCGGTTCTTTCCATCCAGATGTTTTATACATATCGGCGAATAGGACCAGCCGTACTCGATTACCTTCGCTTGGGTTGAGAGACTCCTATGCCTTAAGAGGCGATTCTTTCCTTCCTCACGGATGAGGCACACGAGGCACCACGATGGGGCATTAGGATCTGGACTGATGACGCGGCATCATAAGTGACAGCTAGACAGGAGGAGAAGGAAGAGGAGGAAGAGGAGGTTCTCGCATTCCCCTTTCCCTTCCAATGACCTCCCGCTGTCGCTTCCCGTCCGATCTGACGCTTAACCGGCTCCGACGACCTTCCGCGTCCCTGCCCTTTCTCATCTTTCACTTCGTTTTTCCTTTCCTCGTCCGTAGGGACTCGCACGAAATACGTATCGATGGGCTCTCCGATTCGAAGCCGAGAGCCACATCAGTCGAAACGGTCTGGGTTCTCACGAGATTCGATCGTTCACGAAAGTGCCCGACTTTTCACGTTGACCCCACACGAATTAGCACGTCACGAGAAAGTTAAAATGATTGCTCGTTAGCTCAGAAACGTAATATCATACGTTATGCATAACCATAGGCCTGCGGTATCTCTAAGGAAAAAAATGTAAATTTTCCCAGACGAAGTGACGAGACGCCCACTAGATGACACTCGTGCGATGCCTATCTCCCGCGTTACTATCCGTCGACGAAACGAAATCCCGTTTCCAAAGATTCCATCGTCTCCGTTTACGTGCCTAGTGCCCCACTTTTCCCGTTCGGTTTCCGCCAAATTGGCGCGAGTCCAATCTCCCACGCCTTTTTAGCTCCCCTCGGTTTTTTCCGGATTCCTCGGGATGGCGGGAACGTGTCCCTCGACGCGGCTTCTCCCTCGAGAAATTCGAAATTTTCTTCATTTTCGTTTATTTGAAGCGCCGACGCGCTTCAGCGCCGACGAGCGGTGGCATTCGCGTCCATCACGGCTCCGAAAATCTCCGAAAATCCAAAGCCCTCGAGGTCGTGAAGACGCGCGCCGGGAAACAATGCGGTCCCCAAATCGAAAAGACGTGTATGCAGAGGCTTGGGTAAGCCACTGCTTACCTAAGCGGAGGCTATAAATGTCTCGAGAGCTTCGCGAGTCCTGACGCCAACGACGCAATCCCGAATTCCAACCACCATTCCAATTAATTTGGTTACCCTTTTCTCCCCTTTCTTTTTCGAATGCAACACTTTACCTTTCGACCGAGAGATTCTTAGACGTCGGCGGCACTTAGCAGCTCGGCCTGCCTTGGGCGTTTTCGAGTCGAGCGAAAAAACGAGCGCAATTTAAAAGAACTAAAAGGCGTGCGGCGTTCCGGCCCTTGCGCGAACACTTCTGTCTGGACGGGCGGAAGTCTCGCGTATTACACCGATGGAAGAAGAAATGGATTTTTTCTACTTTTCTAGGTCGATAGAGGCCTCACCTGGAACTGGCTTCCAGCATGGCCATGCACGTGAGCACTGCGATTTCGTAATAAGAGCACCAACAGAGAGAGAGGGCCGTGTGCACAGCACAGTCATAAGACGGAGAGAGAGGGAAGCAAAGGCGAGGCTTCCTTATTATGAGACTTCCCGACCCCTTCACGTTCCCTCCCACTCCCACACCGGCTGTCCTGGTGGATGCTCTCCGCCGCAGACGCAAAGTAGAGTCCTCTGCGGGAGTTTCCGTACGAGTCCCGCGGGACCATGTCGTACCGTCCGTTGATACGAGAGAGGGTCCAAGGCCTGTTTGAGCGATCCCTTTCCAGCTTCATTCTCTATATAAACACGGAATTTCCATTTTTTCTCTTCATTGTTTGCTATAGAGACTGTACTCTGGCCTCGCAAAATGTTCGTTGATGAGATTTTCTGGCTCCGTCGATGACGTGAAGGGAGGAACGTTGCAAGATGGCAACGCACTGACGTTCTCCCCCTATGGAGGGAGACGCTGAGTCAAAACTTACCTCAGTAGCTGTGGAATCCCCCTTTCGATCTCTAGGCTCTGCTTGTAATTAGGGAAGTGGCTCAGTAGACCTCTAGAAAGTTTTTATGAGGATTTGGAGCCGGTTTTCTCGCCAAGACCGTGAAGAGGATGGAGATCGTGCTCTAAAGGACATCTGCGATCTCGCTATGGAGACAGAAGATGTGGATTTCTCCCCTCGCTTGGCCCTAGTGAACGCCGAGGTCTTAGAGAGGGAAGATGACCCGCCAACTTGGTGTCTCCAATGTCGATCTCGATCCGCGATATCCATTGTCGGCCTAGATCGAAGCCAGAGCTCCTGCCCGCATATGTCCTTGATTGTAAGATATTCTTGCCTGCGCTTAACTTTGGGGAAGGCCTATGCTGAAGTAGATTACAATCTGGAACGGCACAATATATTTTTGGATTCATTTTGTAGACCTAATGCTGTGTCACTTGTAGTCTAACTTAAAAAAAAAATACATTTTGGCCTATTAGCCACCTCTTATTAGAAATTTCAGTGGAACTTTCATGTACTCATGCCAAGTATATTTAAATGCATCACAAACTCAAGAAGATTAGAGCATTGTTTATTGTTACTTCCTTTAAGGTAATATGAATGATCCATGCATTTCATGTGATGAAATTGATGCCCAGGTGAACCATTAGTTGTTTTAATGAAACTGTTCTGAGAATAACCTCCATGTATTTGTTGTCTGGGGATTGTGCAACTTTGCTAATCTTTGCAGGCAGATGAAGGCAACCAAGAGGTGACATTTGTGGATGGTGAGCTGGGGGATGGGGTTCATGAAGCGAGCTTCTCTCACTGTCATACCATCCACCATCCTCGAGCCATCAACCACAGGGTCCAGACCCAGCTCCTTATTGCCTGCTTCCTTTGTCTTCTCTTTATGGTAAAATCAGACAGCACTGAATATGTGATTCTCAAGTGGGCCTAAGAAGAGTAAAGGGTTGTCTTACGAATTTTGTAGGTGGGAGAGGCTGTTGGGGGATACCTAGCTAATAGCCTGGCTGTGATGACTGATGCTGCTCACATGCTCTCTGACTTTGCCTCTTTTCTCATCAGCCTTTTTGCATTCTGGCTTGGAAAACAGAGACCCACTCGCCGGATGTCTTTTGGTTATCATCGAGCTGGTGTGTTTTTTGCATCATGGAGATTTCATGCATGTAAAAGGAAATAATAGATCTATTTTTCAGGTCAAATGAACCCCTAATCAGGATGGATTTCTGTTTGAAGTATAGGTGTTGAGAGATAATGGTAGATCTAATGATTGGTGCAGAGTCCATGGGTTAGATGTCTGAGGTCAGCTGGAACCTTTTTCAGGACTTTTTAAAAAGGAATACTGATATCTGAATGCATTGCTTTTGATTACCTGTATTCCTTTATTATGTAACATAACTAGTAATAGAAACTCATCCATGGTAGGTATGTTAGACTGGGTTTAACCTCATCAAAACAAACAAAAAAAGGCCCAAACACTCAGCTGTTTGTGGTGGCTATCATTTTCTTTTCATTTTAACTTGAAGACTTCAGGATACCAGCTGTCCAAATAATCCTTGAACTTCCTTGTTGAAGTCAATGGAGTTGAACTGGGCAGAGTGCAGCAAAGGGGCAGGATTAAAAGAGAGGAGGGAGAAGATTTGCATGCTGGGGTTTAGAGTATACATAGTTATGTTGATTAGGCCAGTCTCTATTGGGCCTGAACTACTGGTTTCTGCTCTTGGGAAAATAGGTTGAATAGGTAAGTGAAGACATTCACCAATATGAATGCACTAGAACCTACACTCCCCATAAGTGAATGAGCCAAATTGCCATATCTATGCAGCCTTGACAAGCATACAATGATCTGCTTCTTCTACCTGTCCATAACAGTTTCCATGGAGTTACTTTTCTAGTCTTTCTTGTCTACCATTTAGGAGAATGTTCCTCTTATCACTTCTCTGATATGCAAGTCTCTCCTTTTAGGACTTTGTATCTTGTTCTCTGACTATGATTGCCAAGTTTGAGTTGCTGTGACTGGATCTATCAAGATAGGTGTTGCATAGTCCATAGGTGAACTTGTTGACCAATATAGCAGTCATGTAGAGATTCTGACCTTGGATGCTGATGTTGGGATCAATATATTACTTTGAAGGGGGAGGGAAGCTTAAGACTTCTGGGAATGACTTTCAAAGCAACTGAACCATAAAAGGTAGGCATATCTGAGAGGCTTTCTTGTTCAATTGTTTATCATAGAGATATCTTTGTTTTCATTGTGAATAACTTGAGAGAGCAGGGCAATTGCTATGAAATATTTTGATCAGCTCTGATTTGTTCATCATATTTTTATTGCTGTGGTTGTGGGGAATGTTTGAGGAATGCCTTTTTTGTTACAGAGATACTTGGAGCCTTGGTGAGTATCCTGATGATTTGGGCAGTGACAGGGGTCCTTGTGTATATGGCTGTGATACGGGTCATCCGCCAGGACTTTGAGGTTGATACAGATGTTATGCTGATTGTATCAGCTACTGCTGTGGCCATGAATGTCATGTAAGTATTGTTGGAAGCAGAATCTTCCAGTCTTCATGTTTCTGATGGTTGTTATTGATTGCCATATGGGATGCCAATGGGCTGTACACTTTTGTATTTGCTGGACCTTAAATTGGCTGTGGCAGAGAACATGTTACAAAGACAATAACCCTACTAGCTCCTTCATTATAGGGGCCCATGGAAATTGATTTTTTATGCATTTATTAGGCATGTCAATGCTTGTTAGATTCATTTTATGAAGCATAGGAAATTCCATTAGCTTTCTCTCAGACACCATGTATTGGTATCCCATATTGAAATTTGCAAACCTAAGTCTTAGTGAAATCAGAGCATTTCTGCCAGCAGATTTTGGAGTAATTGCACAGAATTTGAAAATCTTGACTTGACCCTAAATGATTCCTGAGAAATTAAATCAATGTGTAATCTGTTTTGGATCCATCTTAACTAGACCCAGGTGTATATTGGGAATCATGGAAAGTTTGCAAAGGCTCTGATATGTTGATGCAAGCCTCAGTTTTGTCTTTTCATTATATATAGCCTGGGGTTGGTTTTGCATGGAATGTGCCACCTGCCAGGAATTTCCCATGGTCATTCTCATGACCACTGGCATGGTCATCCACATCACAAAAGTTCTCGAAACATCAATGTGAGAGCTGCTCTCATCCATGTTCTCGGGGATCTTCTTCAAAGTGTTGGCGTTCTCATTGCAGCATTTATCATACACTACAAGGTAAGACCACTTCACCATAAGGACTCTGCTACTCCTCTTGATTAAATTCAAATGAACTTATTTTAGTAGTGTTTTATGGGGTGATGATGCTTATAAGGAATAACGCCTTTTCTCCTGTAATTTTTCTCCATGGAATAAGGTCACGGCTTCCAGGGAGGTACCCTTGCTTCAAAACAAGGGAAGCAGAACTTAATAGTCAAATTATGGCTCTTTTATTGATACACCTGGATGAAACCCTCATTGAATTTATGTAAATGAAATGAGAACAGTTGAAAAGTCAGCAATTAACTGAGAAACAGATGGAAATCTGTACCAATCCTCGCTGGAAGTCCAAGCACCATTTGAATTCTCTCTGGGTGGTAGTGCACTGCTCAAAGGCAGAATAAACAATTTATTATTCCAAGAAAAGCTCTGTTGCAGTTCACTTCAACCTTTCCTTGTATCATGAGTGCTGCAAAGGTTAAGCAAATTGATTGTGTTGTACACTCAGCGGGGAGAATTCAGGGTGGTTGTAAAAGAATGCTCACTCCTTATTTCCTGGGACTTACTGTTTTCTAGTTCCTTTTCCTGAGGCAGAAGAGATGTACTGATTGATAGTTTTTAGTAGGGCTGTCACAATAGCAGTTTTCAAAACTTCGATGCATCAACCTGAACTATCGATAGTGTATCGATGCATCGGGGGGGGAGGGGGGGTTTGCACCAAAGGATTCAATCTTTTCTCGCTGCGATCGGGCGGAGGTCTGTCTTCCATCGTGTCTTGCCTCGAGCGGAGCGCATGCCTCTTTTCGGCTTCCATAATCTCACAATTGTGTGCGAGGAGAAAGTGTGCCTTCGCAGGGAGTGACAAAACCTACCATGCCTCCACCTATCGAAGATGACATCCATTCATCGATGTCCCATCGATTGTCCCATCAGGACAACCTTACTTTTAAAATTGCCATGGAGAATCAGTTGCCAAGCCTGTTCACGTAATTCTTTTCTTTTTCTTCATTCTACATGGTCTTCTTTGGAAATCAGCACCCACAGATGGAAAACCTGCCGATTCTGTCATACCGGCGGTTGATGAAACATCGGTAGGGCCATAGAATAAGCAACGTCCGTGTAAAAAAATTCGCTTGGGTTCACCTTAACTTACGTTAACGTACCTTAACGTAAAATGCCCCATCGCAATAATAAAAACTTGAGCCTGCATACTTGAGAGAAAGGAAAATAAGGAGGGGGATTAACCAATGTAGGTTTCGAAATCAAGGGAGTATAAGAACAGTCCACTTTTGCAGCATGCACCTCATGAGATCGAGCCGAAAACTGTAACTAAAGATAAGAAAATATTCTCGGTCTTCCCTCCCTCTCCTTTTCCACTTCCTGTCTCCGATTCCAACTTTTATTTTCTTTCCCGTCATATAATCAGTCCCAGCATTTTCGGAATTTCATCTTGACGGAAATTGCTCGCCCATGCCGGTCACGCTGCCTCCTCCTTTTCCCGCCCAGACGGACTGTATTGTACTGTAATCGCCTCAATCCAATGGGACATTTTCCCTTTGAAATCATTTGCCGATACATCGCGATGGTCGAAAAAACTATCGATGCCTCCTCCCACCATCGATAGTGGTATCGATGCATCGATCTATCGTGACAGCCCTAGTTTTTAGTTGGTTTTTTCTTCCTAAGTAATACTGCATTCACAATGACAGGCAAACCATTATGTAGCTCTAGCTAAAATGATCTTGCCAATGAATTTTATCAATGGTATTGCACTGAGCAAGAGTTGTTAATGTTTGTAATATGATACGTATGATAATGAGACATACAGCAAGATTATTCAATTTGGTCCATTTTTAATCATATTGAACAAATAAATCCAGGTGTGCGAGTTCTTCTGCTGTGAACAGCATGAGTATGCCTCAGTGCACATAATTATGAGAACAGCATTTTATGATCTTACAACTGTGAAGTTAGTCCTTGGAGACTGAAAAACCATAGATCCCTATTGTAATTGTGCCTATCATGTTTTTTTTTTTATCCCCTGCAGCCAGAGTATAAGCTGGCTGACCCAATCTGCACCTTTGTCTTCTCCGTCCTGGTGCTTATGACGACCACGTCGGTGCTGCGCGATGTTATGCTTGTCCTCATGGAGGCTACACCTCGTAGCTTGGATTTCTCCTCCATTGAAAAAGACCTAAGTGATGTGCAGGGGGTGCGACTGGTGCACAACCTCCGCGTGTGGTCCCTCACGCTTGACAAAAATGCTATTGCTGTCCATCTTGCTATTGGTAAGTCTATTGGTTTGTAAATTTAAGTTGTTGGTGAACCCTTTCATTGCTGAGTCAGAGTATACTCGTTTTTCAGCTGACCAGAAATACGTCCATCAGATATCCTAGGATGTTACTCTGACACCAAACTGTATTCTTTAATTATACATTTTTGAATTAAACTGAAATCCATATGACCCAAAAAACCAGAGTGTTTTCAAGGGACTGAAGTGATGGTAAAAACCCAGGATGGGGCAGGTGTCGTGCTATTCAAAATTCAGTGGTGAAAGGGTTAAACCGATTTTTAAAAAAATATTGATTTAACCCTTTCACCTGAATAAAAAAAAAAGATTTGTGGGTGAAGTGTAGTATGGAAGTGGTATATCCAACAATCTTTTATGTATGCCACCTTCCAATGTAATTAGGAACGGTAATCAGCAATTTTATTATGACTCATAAAAAGTGGGAACTTGTACACCTACGTAGGATGCCTTTTGGCACTTCAGATTGTCTTTCTCAGTTTTTTTAAATACTCTCTTGCTCTGCCACTCTGATCCACTCATGCAGGTTCTCTAGTCGAGAGCCACTAGGGAAGCTTAAGTACTCGACTGTCTATATGAAAGAAGACCCTTTTCTCTATGGGGACCTTCCTGTCTTTTCCTATCTTTTAATTAATCAACTCTTGTATGTCCGAAGGCCAGTAATTTGGAGCCCCCTTTAATCCGGTCATGAGGAATGGTCCCGACACAAATCCCATTGGACCTAAAACTAACGTATCCCATTGATCCGAACGCCGTTTTTCCGTAGCTTCAGTTGATACGGACGTGTTCTCCTGTCCCTAGGTCCATTCTCCCAATTAATCAGGACTTGCAAGCATAATGGGTTAAAAACGGAAAAAACTGTATTCCGCCATCCCATTCCTGTGTCTCCATTCCCCCTTCACGTTGAAATAAGAAGAGAGAAGAAACCACCTCTCGTCTCCCCCCCCCCCCCCCCTTGAATTGGGAATGCTCTCCTCAGTTATACAGTACTTTCACTCTTTGTAGTGAACATCATCAGTCCTTGTCATCGGAAACCTCTAGAAGTCACCTTTTGAAGCTTCTTAGACGTGGGTGAAAAGCAAGTTGAGATAGGCCTAGTACGTGATTTGAATATTCCTCCATCGATAGTCTCAGACATGAAGTGTCGCGATGAACGTGAACATGATGCTGTCCGAGGCGTGCGCTTCGCATTCGTTTCAGTGGAGGGACACATCTTTCACGGAAGCATGCGGTCATTTTTGGGTGCACAGAGGAATAGGGAACCTTGCTGTCTCTGGAAAACCGCTGCGTGATTGCAGTAGTGGTTCGTCAGTAGAGGAGGATGGAGGAGGTCGGAGTCCACTGACGCGCTGCGACTGCTGTAGTTCACGAGCTTCGGCTCAGTTTTGTGGAGGAGTTTTTCGCGTGCATCGAAAGCAGGAAAAAAAAGGGATTTCTTAGGAGTTTACTGGTTAAAAGTTAATAGGTAATTCCCATTCGCATAAAAAAAATAAACGGAAGAAATAAAGGCATTTTGTTCAATGGGAGCACAGTTTTTCTATCGCGAAAAAAGAAGAAAATGAGTGGTCACTAGGGCCGGATTTCGATAATCCAGACGAACCGTTAATCAGAACAAAATCATACGCAGAAGTCAGGATTACCGAGAGTTGTCTGTACTGCTGATCAAAGTTGGCTCTAATAAATATGATAGTACATTATTACATGAATGATACATAGCTCTTGGAATAGATCTGGTTTGACTGCAGTCTGGATGGTTTTTTTTTTCCAGATGACACGTCGAATGCCACCGGAGTGCTGCAGGAGGCAACCCAGGTTGTGAGGCGGAAGCATTTGGTCCACAGCTGCACGATCCAGGTGGAACCGTTCCATTCAGAAATGGCTACCTGTGCCGACTGTGAAGTGCCGAAGTGAGACAAGAACTTGACTGCTGAGACGAGGAAACTGTTGACTGGAGTCTTTCACAACATGATTGGAATTCGAGATGACCAATATCTTCATTGTTGATGTCTGATTCCCAGCCTGGAGTTATTGGTAGAAGAGTGATATTTTTGATACATTTTGGATTTCCTGTCAGAAGGTGACAATATGTTGAAAAAACCTGTATCCAACGCTTGATTTGTGTTTTATGTTTTTGAGTCTGGCAATACCGGTTGTATGGAGAATCATTGGAGTGTCTTATTTTGAATTTTGCAGCAAGCCATAGCAGAGGATTAATTTAGAATTGTATGCCAATGCCAGTTTCCAACCAAGGGATTGCCTCTTTGAGGCTCAGATGAATATGCTTCCTTACATGAGAAATTGCCAAAATTATGACATCTCAAGAGAGATTGTACTGTCACAATAAAATTGAGAACAAATTGTTACCAGAATTGTCTAACATATTTGGTATCAAATCCTTAATAAAACTCTGAGGGACACTGAAAATGTTCATTAGTCCCATCTAGTAATTTTTCATGGTGTGGTATGCCTTGAAATGTCCCACACAAGTTTGATTAGTGAACCGGTATAAAAGGGTTTACCCTCAGTTTACTCCTGGTCTACCCTTGGAGCATAGAAAATATGCTATGAATGGAGGCAAGCTGACCAATAGATACAGATGGAGCACAAGATCTGATGTACTCAGACAAATTGTATTACCAACTTATCAATCTTCACCCCAGAAGCATAGTGACTACTGTGGTCATGATCACACTGGGCGATGACAAATCCAGTAAGAAACTCCCAAGCTGAACTTCTCATGCATGCTTTTGTTTGTCATTTTGTCACCCTCAAAAAAAGCCCTGTGTTGTGGTAAGACTCAAGAAATCACCAGGGTCCATCCTCGCAATGTCCACATGCGAACCATCATGGAATTGTTCAGTTGGAAACATTCTAATAAAGGCAATGGGCAAGTTTCATATTAAAAGCTATTGGGAGCTGAGATATATAATCAGGTGAGGATTGTTATGTTCTAAGTCCAAATTTAAGATTTTTTAGCCCTGGTATATCCACACCATTTAATGTCAACAAAATTATTTTCTTGACATAGCAGGTCATGCATTAGTTTAGGAATCTGTGGATGCAATATGAGGCTCTGCAAACATAATATATTTTGTTTTACTGCAGCAAACTCTGATGAAGTCCATGGTGTCCCTAACTATCAGTTTTGGACAAAGAACAAAATAATCCTCACTTGACGATATGTCACAAGTCATTGGTCTGCTTTTTTTCCATACCCCAGTTGTATGTGAGTGTGTAAATTTAGTAACATGAGTGACAAGAGTACATTTTGATACATAACTATTGAGGGAATAGAGTACCCTGTGGGTACTCTATTCTTACTAGTACTATGATCTTACTATATTATGACCAGAACAAAAAAAAAACTTATGCTTTCCTTCCTACTTGTCTATGATGTTTCTTGGAGGCATGTCTGCAGAAAAACCCAATAATGATCTCCAGTATTTCTGCAAAATATCTTTCATTTGTCATCAATTCTATACCATCACACATGCACCAAGGAAACAGAGAATTTCTGAAAGACATGGCAGGACCTCTTTGAAATGGGGGTGAAGTCAGACTAGAGTTCCTAAAAGAGTACTTGTCAATGCCCACATGAACTAGATGACTTTCAGCATTCCTAAAACTTAGAAGTTCCAATCACTCCATTCATGCACACCATCAAGAGTGTGCTTGCCAGAGCCATTGCCAGGTCCTAAGACACAATGAAAAAAAGCAAATCAATCAAGCTTTTTTTTTTTAAATACATTGTTGATTGGAAAAAAATGAGTTACATTCCAAGTATGACCAGATTTATTTAGTTTCTTTGTCCTTTTCATCCTGATCACACAGACTTTTTTTATTTTTACAAATGTGGAATAGAAAGTCACTTGTGATGACTGAGAGAGCTGCAGTACATGCATGCAAACAACAACTCAAATGCCAATGAAAAATGCACCCTGCAAAGGAAGACTGGCAACAGCGCGCAACTGACAAATAAATGACACATGCATTTACCATTAATAATAATTCATTTTGTGCTAATTTTCTCAAGTATAGAAAGATTAAGAAAAGAAAAATTTCAGCAAAGAGCATTGAAATGAGTATCATGGCATCATCCTCAGTTTTCTTGATAAGGACTATTTGAAGGTTGTCCTTTTTACTTCAGAATCACACCTGATATCCAAAGTATTTGATGTCAAATATTGAGTCTCTCACTATTCTACAAAACCTGTATCCAGTACACCCTTTACTTATTTATGCTAACTTAAGAACAGACATACTTTAACTCCTATTATTTTTGGCTTAGGTACCAAATTGTGTGACTCACTTGGCAATTGAGCCCTTTGGTTCACAAAGTGAGGGAGAGCTGGCTGGAGGAGTTCAGCTAGGGTCTGCTCCTTTGGGCTCTTTATACTGTGGCGGAAAAAGGGGTGCAGAAGAAGTTGAGATGCACTCTTTCGCATTTCTGAGTCCCGTGCCACACACTGGTCCACAAATCGGTGGAAATGGGATGAGAAGCAGCGACTGTGCATGGCTTGAAGGTGGGCCATAAACTGCATGTTATTGGGAGGACTAGTTGTCTCACTGTCACCAACTCCTGAGTCCTGAGTTTGCCCTGCTACAACTAGAGAGAATGAAAAATGTGGACTTGCTTCTAGATGTCACATGTGGATAACAATGAGTGAGTGGAACTTGATCTGCTTAACATGACCTGTGCATTTTGAACTTGATGCAAAGCTGTTCTGATCAACTTTAGAAACCAGATTCATTCAAACATGACTTTATGCCTTCTGTGGCAATAACACTCCTGAGGAAAGAAGCAAAAGCATACCATCAGGTGGAGGGAGTGTGGTGGCATCCAGGAGTCGGGGGCCTACCCCTTCCAGCTTCTCCAAAAGCATCAGGGTCTTTGGCAAATCATGAAATGGAGGCACTCCATTGGCCAGTTCACATGCTGTCACTCCCACACTATACAGATCTGACCTTTCATCATATCCCAGCAAGTTCTGCACACAAGAGGGAAATTGCATATTCAACTGATAAAAAATGATCCCACATGATTTTATGGGCAACTTGCATGAGATAAGGAAAAAAGCCTCTTTTTGTTTATTTCCCAAAGAAGGTACATCCAACAATTCTGAAAAATCTACATTTCATAAGATACAAATTGAAACTCATGATTGATATTCTACAGAGAAGCAGAGAGAGATCCTCACATGGGGAGTGCCATGCAGGAATTACTAGATGGCTACATCTGCAGGTCTAAGTGACTGTTCTCAAATAAAGGATGAAACATATGGCCAACTATTCTGATGTCTATGGAAAATCAAGCTACATATCCTGCAAGGTTATTGAGAGTGTAGGCTATAACATTAGCAAAAATGATATTCTCTGCAAATTCTTTGTGAAGTGAGGATTCATATGTGATTTGTGAAAATCATGGCTGAAGCTAACACTCTTAAGCTTGTGGGATTCCATGATAATGAATCTTTGACTGGATATGATGGGGGATGCTGACTTGGTTAAATTCAATCCCATAAACCTAATTTCTATATTTGGAGGATTGAGTAGAGAAGTATGCAGTCCAGGTCAACCTTACTTCATTCCTTTTCCAGTGATATGAAAATGATAACTATTGAAGTCTGGTGCTTTTCAGGGTATTGAGTATAGGGTATTCATGGAATTCTAGGATTTCACTTGATTCAGACACTAGTGAGAGTTCATCCAGATTCAACCCTGACAAAAATAAATATATAATCCTTTAAAATTTGGTCACAACATCTCTATTAGTCTCAAAAGGGGATGAAACCAACGAAATAAATGCCGAGGAATAAAAAAAAAAGGAAGTGAAGGACAACCTGCATGAGTATTTCAGGGGCAAGCCACTTGAGATTGGAGTTGATACGGGGAGAAAACTCATAACAAACAGCTGAGGACATGGGCAGGGCATAGCCAAGCCCTGAGAGCACCACCTTGCCCTGGCTTGACAGGAGAATGTGACTTCCTCTGACTCCCCTTAAAAAAATAAAACCAAAGCTCTACTCTGTTCTACAATGAAATCTTAAATACCAAGGACCCTGGTGATTTATCAAATCAGAAATAACCATGTTGGTCTCAGTTGCTCATAGAACTTCATAGAATGGAAGTGAAGATAGGACTCAATTGCCATGAAAAGAAACAACAAATACTGTAAAATTTTTCTGCAATTACATTATTTAATTCACCAGGACATCCATTTGGGCACCATTTTGAAACTGATGAGAATGACTGAAAAGAAAATCTCCACAAAACATTTCATACATACAAAAATTGTATGAATCTCAAAGTACACCTAAACTTTTTCACTTTATCTGTGGAAATGAAAAACGAGCCATTGTGGCAAAATACATCTGTCCAGATTCAATAATTTCTTCTAAATCTTATAACAACATGCACTAGCACCTATACAGGATGTCCCAAAAGTATAGAGTAAACTTTAATATTACATTTACTAATACATTACACATATAACATTCATTTATTGCCTGTTAACTTTCAAAGTCATGACACTTATGTGAGTACCATGTTTTCATAAAACCCTCATAAGTTCCTCAGGTGTTTAGAATGTCCTCCTTCATTGATGCACATTGCATATCTGTTAGGGACAAATCTGCAAACAGTAATAGAGGAGCCTCTCACCGATGTATGATTTGCTTTTTATGCAGGTACTCCAGTGCAGACAAGACAGATTTCATGATGATGGAGATAGCTGATTCAGGAAGCCCATCATTGAAATAGGTCTGGAGTAGATCAGCAGCTGAACCATAGTCCATGTAGGAAAATATCACCCACAGCTCAGGACCAATGACAAAAGCAGATCTGAAGGTTGAAATGTTGGAATGCTGGAGCTGTCTCATCAGGCACAACTCACGCTACAAATGAAGATGACATAAAATTTATTCTGTATTCTGACAGGCCCAAACTTGAAAGGTTCTCTTGAATTGTGCATAACAAAACAATGCATTAACACTTACAATCTGATGAATGTAAATGTATGTCCAACCCTAACTAGCATCAGATGACTGTGGATGCAATGGTATGTCCTTTGAAAATGTTCACATAATTTCCCACAATAAAATAGAGACCTTATATTTAAATTTCCAAAAAGAGCAAGTCTCTAACATTTTGCATTGCAAGTTATAAACTTTTTTTGCAAACTTGAAAAAACTTGTCTCTGGAGTGAAAGTGTTAATATCACATATGCTGTTTTCAGATTGAATTAGTACCCTCCCCAGGTAGTGGGAAACAAAGAAAGCACTATTTCCAGAGGATTCACAAAACCACCCATGTGGAAGATGTCACTACCTGAAATCAATGGAAGAATTCCTATGGAGCATACCAATTAAACCTGAAAACAATGTATATAGTGTCCTAAAATATAGACCAAATATCAATTAATGCCTCAACTGCAGCTACCAATACCTATGCTCACAGAAGTATCTTTGTCATTGTCTTATATAAAAACAGAGGTAGGATGGGGAAGTTTCATTGTTCATGCAAAGCCAGAAATTTCACATGGACTATGACTGCAATATCAGCAGTGAAGAGATGAGAATCAGTATGAACAATATATCACAAACCCAGTTCTTAGTCTTTTGCTTCCTCAGGCAGGAAGGGAAAGGAGGAATAGGGGAGGGGAGATTGGCAAATTCAACAGGAAATAATTGATAATCTCAGTTTCAGGTGTTTCTCCACTACAACCCATAATGACAGTAGAAAGCAGGGTGTAAAATCTGCTTGAAAATACTGCAAGCCTAGACAAATTGTAACATTTGAAAAAATGCTGTACCTGGACACTTGTAAGGACATCTGCAGACATCTCCTCCAAGTTATATCTTTTGATGGCCACACTCTTGAATGAGGGTTCATGCTGACCAGCCACAACAATACCCATGCCTTCACAACATTCATTCAATGCCTCCACCACTGAATACGTGTCTTCTCCAAAGCATACTTCCGTCATCTCACCAAAGGTGGGCATCTTGCTATCAACTCTCTAACAAAATGTGAAATGTTCACCTAGACAAGCATTCTCCTAACTGATGGCAGATTTCTCAATCTGGCAAGAGACAAGGATTATAAATAATATGGACTAGCCCCATGCCTTAGAATTGGGCAGGTACTGGTATCAATGGCACCATGGGCTGAGACCTAAGTGTCTGACTTCAGGATATACAGCCACAATGCACATAAATAGAACTTCAAGTAGTGAGTCTCACTCCTAAGTTCTGCCTCAGCTCAGCTAGATTCAAGCCTAATATTCAAAGAGATTTCTTTTAGTGCATTAGCATATTCAATCAATTTCAACATGTCATAAGAACATTTATAGATTATGCTACATGGCAGAGTAAGCAACATGTATTCAATATTCTGAAAATATGAAATCATCAAGCTTACATATGCACATCATGTACCCATATCTCAAATGCTCTCATTTTAATTTAAGTACCTAATATTCACTCATTTTTTTGCTTAGTACCAATACTCATCAAGTAGGATGAAAAAAAAGGATAAAAACACTTGGACAGCAGTTTGCATTGAACTCAAAATAGGTGAAACAGGTAGGAGTAGATAAATCACATGGGTGTCCTGAGCACAGTACACTTTTGGGAACCAAACCAGTGAAGCATCCCACCATTCCTATTAATGGTTCAGACTTTTTTTTTTTTCACTAATAATGACTCAGCACAGCAATAAAAGAATTGGAACCAGGGGAACAAAACTGAGTTCATCAAAACTGTAAGCTGTAAACTGTAAGCGTAGGTACTAGACAGTAAGCAACTAGGATAGTAAAAAAAAAAAAAAAAAAAAAAAAAAAAAAAACAAAAAAACAAAAA